ACTTGTCTTTTGTCTGTCATACTGGTCATTCATGAATCATCAGTTTTAATACTCTTTATTCGCATGCTGTTATTATCCATGTATATCAGCATGTCCTTAATGTCACCAATTTTTTTTTAATGTAGCATTTCTGTCATCAGATGTCTAAATGCTCTGGTTTGGATTTTGTCAGTTCTTGATCATACTGTATACATAATCTATCTCTGCTTACATCTCTTGGTTCACACATTAAAACAGGCAAGTAAACATCACAGATATAAAATTGAGGAATATAATACCGTAAATATAGTGTACCGGATAGTTGCTGTACTAATGTTTTAATTTTATATGGTCACAGTGCTAACAAGTTCAGATAGGCAAAGCTGCTGCAATGCTCATGTGTGTACTTGGAGCCCAGTGACTCACATATGTATCAAGCAGCAGCGTGTTAATAACTTTAGAATTAATAAACAGTGGTACCAACAATCTGAAGATAATTCTTCCCATTCACTGCCAGAATTAGGGATTTCCATTTTTTGCATACACTTTAATAACGCCAGCACTAGAAAACCACAATTTAGCACACCATTGTTTGTAACTTGTGCTTCAAGTCCCATAATTTCATTATGGTCTGCATTTAAATGCCTGGCAGTGTTAGTACAAGTTTCCTTTATGGTTCCCTATTCCCTTCACAGGTTAAAAACTGGGTAAAGGAGTTGAAGAAGATGCTTGGGAGTGAGATCTGTCTAATTATTGCTGGCAATAAACTAGACCTAGAAAAACAGAGAAATGTTTCAGTCCAGGATGCAGAGGAGTAAGTTAATTGATGGATATTCTTTGTGAAAATATTGATGTCAATGAAAGGTCATGAAGTTCCAGAAGACTACCTGTTGATAATATATTTCACCCTGCATACATCTAATAATATTATGAGGTCATTATAGTAACAGTATGTAAGATATATTTTTGGCCTACTTTCTTTATTTAAAATTGCATTACATGTACTGGGTATATGCAGATTTTATGTAGCTCCTATGTTTCTACATTCTACAAAGAAACTGACTGTACAAACAATGCAAATTTTTCAAATACAGTGGAAACCCGCATTTAAGGTTTGGCTGATGAATTAGCATTTTATATCTTATATCAGGAAAATACCTAAAATGGGGAAAAAATCAAAATGAAACAGAAAACGACTGTTTAGGTTACAAACACTTGGAAAATAGAATTTGCATGATATGACTGTATCTTAGAATAAATAAAGTATGACTCTAACAAGAAAAAAGATGCATACATATGTAGCAGGGGTATTCTTGAATTAATCCAAAACAAATGTCTGCTCTGTTGGACATGTCCAACAAGGAAGGAGCAACTCCCTTTTCAGCTGGTCCAGTTGCACTAGGGATAGAATCATAAGTCTGAAAGAACACATAAACCTTCCGACAGCCACAGAACTATAAACTGCCTCCCCACATGAAGGAATGTTTGAACTACTGCTACTAAAATTTGCATGTGCAATTTACAGTGGGTTCATAAGCACAACCTTTCAGCTTCACAGTAATCAGTCAACCCATGAAAAAACACATCAGGCTGCATGGCTTTTCCAAGTAGTGGTGGCAGGAGAGGAAGTGACTTTATCAGCAAGGGTGTAGAAGACTTAACTAACATGTTACTTGTGGCCTCAGACTTGTTGATGGTGATGAATTGCACATGAAGTGGTCCATATTCCATATTTGGACCTAAATTTCATAGCTCTGTGATCTCAGGAATAAGATCTTGAAGTATTAACTTGAAATCACCATACACTACATATGGATATGTCAAACATAGATCAGTTATAGGTTAAAATGTTATGGGAAAATATATTTACATACATTACAAATTAGTCATCCCTTGTTAGATGTAATATGCATACACTGTAGCACATAATGATATCAAAGTACGAGGCATACAAGATTATTAGGAATGGTTTTTAAATGAAATGAAATGATATTTGTATATGGGAATTTCTGTGTTCGTAACAAAAACAGTCATGTAGTAGACTAGACTAGACTGTACACACAAGGACTAAAGTTATTAGAATTTCAAGCTGCATTGTAGGATTCAATATTATGATTTTAAAAGAAACTGAGACTGGAGTATGAAGTTTAAATTATGAATACATGGAATTAAATACATTAAGAAAATAGGTATGCATCTGCTCTGGTATAGTAATGCAGTACCGATTTTATAGGCCAATGTTTGTTAGTTGTCTCCGGGCAGGTCAAGTAGGAAAAACATTGGTTTTAGGTGTTGGCATTCATATCATTACGTGCATGTTCTGTTTGCTAATTATGTAAATATACTTTTCTGCCACGTTCATACATTTAACTTTTTGTCTAATTCTGATACATTACTGATATTTACATATTTATGACTTGTTTTGAGCATGTGTTGGGGTATATCCAAACTTTTTATTATTCTGGTTTGCTTGAATGTGTTCTTCCAATGTAGTGTAAAATGCTTGGTGTTTTTGACCTAAATATTTTTCCTGACATTCAAGACATTTCAGTTGGTAAATTACATGGCAGCTATATGGACTTTAAAATTTACCCTATACTTCTTGTGGTTGTTTGATGACTCTGACAGTAGCTCATACTTTATAGTGTAAAATGGTAGGATAGTGAATGAATGATGAGTTCGAAAGGATATGGAGGTGCTTGTGGTTAATTTAAGGTACTGTCCTGGCATTAACCTGGAGACTGAGGAAAATCCTCCTTGAAGATAGCTGATTTCTTTGATCAGATTTAAACCTTTGGTCTCTTGAGTAAGAAGC